AGATCTTTGAGTTCATCTCATGAAAAATGGGAGCAAAAACAAAAGTGTTGCATTTATATTTTTGTTCAGTGTATTATGGATAATATAGTGAGTAACAGTGAATTTTTCACTTTATATACAATTCTGTGTCATGTGGAGTTGGCATTTACAGTTCAGGTCATTCATTTTGATAATAGTCATTTTCAGTTTGCTCTTTTGTACTTTCAGGCTCAGGCAGTTTTCGGGAGAGCCCCAGGCCGAGCGGTCAGGACCCCAACCTTTGGACCGTGGAGGAAGTGATGCAGTACATCAGAGAGATCGACCCAGTGCTGGCACCACATGCTGACCTCTTCAGAAAACATGTATGTATTCTCTCATAACTTCAAAAAAACCTCTATATTTAGTTTTAGTTTTATTATACCAGTCATTGATGTTGGTTCGTACATTAGCACAACTTAACTTTCTCTTTGTTACCTTAATGAAAATGCCCCCCCCCTCTCTGCTGCAGGAGATTGACGGCAAAGCGCTCCTGTTGCTCCGCAGCGACATGATGATGAAGTACATGGGCTTAAAGCTCGGCCCCTCTCTAAAACTCCTCTTCCACATCGACAAACTCAAACGGGGTTGAGGCGGTCAGCTGACCAGCTCCCAAAGGACTGAATCATCCTCTTCTAGGATCAGTATATCATGCACTTCCTATACTGACAATTTACATGTAGCAAGCTCCATCACACGACCATATCTGGTATTACAAACCCTGTACTGACCTCATCCAATGAGGAATGTTTATTTTGTGTAGCACAATCCAGCCCTAAGGCAGCATGGGATACGTAGGATCACACACTTGTCCACCATCTGTTTCACATTTCAGTTTAACTTGAAAAGTCCTCTGTGGCCGTGTTAACTGTACAAGTTTTGTGGGCCATTTTCTATAGTGTTACATTTTATTCTGAACATTTCATATTTTGTACTTCATGGATTTATCAACTTTAATTGTTGCCTTTTTCAACGGTTTGTGTCAGAAATGCTAAAAGGAAGACAAGAAAAAACGATATTCATCCCAATAGTTGGAAATGCTTATGGTTAACTCCTCAATTTGAGGAACAATTTTGCAACCAATGCTATAAAAGTAAAAAAAAAACACTATTCTGAAAATATTGCTATGAAGAAATCTGTTTATTAATTCTTATTCTGGATGTTGTTTACGATGCCTTGTCTTGTCTTTGTTATTTGTACTTTTTTAATTTTTATACTATATTATTAGAGTTCCTACATGGAGAGCCCAAGCTTAACATTGTTCAATAAATATATAATAATTCAAATCTTGGTTCATTTCATCTAGTTTATTTGTTCTGCAGAGCCACTATTTGTAACATTTATTACACTTTATTGTTTACAGTAGAGAAATTGATCACGTCATTTTATTTATTACTAAAGTTTTATATTCTTCCTTTTTATCCCGTGGCAAACTGATTATATGCCTCATACATGTGGTGTTAAGAGTCTGGTCTTTTAAGGCTGTAAAATGTATATATGGCTTTAATTCTGAGATATTATTAAATTCTGAACTACAATTAGAAGAATAGTCAATTTAGTGCCAACTATATTCCATGTAGTTCCAATGGCTCACCAGCAGGGGGCACCACAGCCTCGTGTATCTCTTGGTAGTCGTGTCTCCTTGCTGTTTCTCCTTGGGACTCACTGATGCACTGCCATGGGTGGCCATATCTCCATCTGGTAGACTCTGCATGATCATCTGAGAGATATTTTAACATTGCGTTAAGATTTCTTATCTTGTTGTTGCTCTTTTGTCAGCATTTCTCCTGAATTGCTTTCTAGTAATTTCATGTATTTCCCATGAGTTGAAACCCCTCTGTTCTCTGATTATGTCAGCCTATTGTCCATGTTGTTTCTGGTAAATATTGCTGTCATTGTTCCTGTCAGTACATGAGTGGGCTAATAGGCTCGTGGGCGAAAAAAAATGATTTGTGTGTACTGAAGCGATTCAGCATTAAACTGAAAATCTTACCACATCCTCCTAGTGAAAACAGTAAAACGTCTCGCCCAAATGAAGGGACCAAACCCAGTGCTTCTAACTGACATGGATGAGTATGAATGCACTTGTCTGTTTGCGAGCATATGACACACACTCTCAATCTGTGCTGTGTTTGTGTGTTCTGCTCAGGCACATGTGACAGGCGCACAGCTCGTGGCTGATGCCTCTGTTGTTGATGTGTAGGCCTAATGGTAGCCAACGTGTTGTGCGTGAAGCCAGCGCTATTTATAGAAATAACAGCTCCTTGTGCTGCATATTGTGTTTGTGAAGGGAGCTTTTACTTAGGCATCTAACACTATAGTGTGATTTTTATCAGGTGTCATTCTTGTGTGGCTGATATGGCAGCAGGCCTGTTAGTATTGTATATTCAACATGACTGGCTGAGTTCTCTGAGTGATAGATTATTTGTGTTGTTATGACACACAGTGGTACTGGGGACTTTGGGGGAATTCTCCCCTTGATATTTACCAACAATGCTGAGCAGTCATCTGCATCCACTGTCTTCGCCCCAGCAGCCGTACAGCATGTCGAGCAGAGAGACAGTTTCGGTATGAAATGGGAGTTTTGCGGGCTTGCAGATCAGTCATAACTGTGAGAAAAAAACGACTTTCTTAGGTCTTGATTTCTGCAGAATGAATTCCTTCCCATAATGTGACACCTGAAGCTGCGGTGTTATGCAGGGAAATACCTTTTTATCTGCAGAACAAGCCTGGCATTTTGCAGGCAAGTGTGGGCACAGTTTAGGAGAAGCAATAGAAAAACAAGATGCTCGTCGGTCCAGCCACTTTATATCCAGATCTCACCAGAATACCCAGCATGCCTTTGGGCTGACAGTTGAGTTGCCTTGGGGTGAGGGTCCTGCTGGCCTCGTGCCTCGGAACACAACATGGTGTCTTTTAATTTCTTTGTCAGGATGCTCTTTTGATGATGATAGTACAATATTGTGAGGACCACACTGTTACTCTGGATATAATCAAACTGTTGGTTTATTTATTTATTTGTATTCATTTTATATATTATAATAGACGTTAACTCTAGTGAGCTCCACACAACATTTTGGACTACATTATTTTGTATTTGTCACCAGTAGCACTAAGCATCTACTGGTTCAAATAACCAAATAATGAGGAATTGAAAAATGAGGAAGCCTAACATCTCAGTCAAAGCCCCCTTTAAACCCAAAATATGTTTTTGATATCCTCATAACACTGACAGCCATGTCTAACTACATATTTTTAGAAATTCTTATATCATTACCTTGTATAAATGACCTGCTCTGCTTGCTTGTCTCCAGAGACTTTTGACTGGGAGATAATATCTGCTAAGACAGTTGTCTTGACAGCCCTCACCCCAACACGCTCACCCAGCCAGCCTCGTGCCTACAGATGGTGTGAGCCGGATAATGTCAGGATTTTCCTACCAGGAAAATGTTGGTCACACGACAGCACGGGTATTATCTATCCACGAGTGCAGAGAAATACTCACGGATCACATATAAACACATCAAAACTAAATACATGGATGAATATGACATGCATGTGATTTTCATTGGCATTAACCCGTTGATATTAGAATATATGGATATTTCCCCGGCTGCAAGATAACACAAAGCCTCACAAGAACTGCTCTCTTGTATTAATTACACCCCCAGCCTATAGCTTGTTACTCTGTCTTTGGTAGCATGTGCTTGCCCCTGTCACCAGATTAGCACGCAGGCTTAAAACCCCGCTCACAAAGACACTGTGTACTGAACATGGTCTGTGCTAATACTGTTTCCCATTATTCCAAGCTACAAACCTGTAACTCTCCCCACAGTATATCCCTGCTCACAATAAACCAGGCCAAATCAAATTGTCAGTGCAAGAGGTGAGCGCAATAACATGAACCTGAATGTTATTAAGACTGCCAGATTCACCTCTACATTATTGACGTGTACAGTGTCATGGCAAAGATATCTTGCTGACACATTATCAAAGAAATGTAAGCTTCAAATGGGTTACATTTGCTTTGGATTGATTTACATTGCACACGTTTTGTTATTATCTCTTAAAACTGAGAGTTTATTTGATCTCATTTCTATGACTGAATCAGTTACAATTGCATGATTTCCATCTGCTAATCCTTGCCGTTGAAAAACTAACAAATTAAAAGACAAAAAGGTTTGTGTTACAAGTTCATCTCTCCTGGGTATGTGCTGGCACAAAGGTTAACTTTGTGCCACTGTTGCGAAACCGCAGCTCTGCTCAGTTTGGCTCCACTGTGCAAATCACACAACCCTTAAATATTTACCAGCGTTAGACATTGTTGGGACACCTCGATGTGTTTGAGCCGGCTCGACGGAGAAGTGTCAGCTGTGTGCAGGAAAATAAATTATTTACACCCCCCCCTTCTACTTCAAAGCGCTGGCAAACCATTCAACCTCAGATTTGGGGAGGGGGGCTGGAGGAGGAGTTGCCAGTCACTAAGCAACCTGTGTGTCACCTGCCCCGACATGCCAAAATCAGCAACTCACCTCTGGAGACTGCATTCACGAGGTACATGGCGGCATTTAAAGCCTCCTCAGCAGGATTTCGTATGGAAAACCAAACAATTACAGAGACGCTGCTAAAATAGTGTGATGTGTTTATATGGTTTTTCCCTTGAGTGAAAAAAGGGAAAGTTGCTTAGAAGATGCTGAGCTTTACAAAAAAAAAGCCCTGGAGCAGAATCACACAGTGCAACAACTGATGTTTTCACAGCCTGTTGCATTCACATACCTTTTTATATGATAGTGCTTTATGATGGGAAGATGAGGCTAGGGGAGGGAACCATATGACTTCATGTCAGATGGAGAAACGAGGTGACTGTTCAGCGAGAAAATCAGGAAGTTCGGCATGAGCAACGTGTCCACTGGATGAACCCTGCCCTGAGGGAGCTGATGTTTATTTGCCCCCTGTCAGCACACATATACTCATACACCACTGCACATACAAACATTCACAAGGTTACTACAAAACGTGCCAAAAACTTCCAAACTCTCTTGTTAAAGCAGACAAGCTCAAACTTGTACCCTCTTCACACAATGAGATGGAAACATGCCCCTTGTTGTCAATAAATAACTCATCTTGGAACTTGGAAAGTTTTCCTCTCGCTTTGTACTCACCATCAGGTCATTCTTTACAGTTATTCACACTTGGGGATTCTTGGTCTTTTTCTTTGCCTCTCAGAAATAGCACACAGTTCAGTCTCACTCTTCAGTTTCAAGATGACACATTTCCAGCACATCTTTAGTATGTAGTCATTTCCAAATGTACTTATTTGATTTTAAATAATGGATCCACCGTTATCTACCTGGATAATGTAGGTGTAAGGATCACATTGACCAGAGATGAGACATGAATCCTTTATCTCGCCCTGACTCCACACTGATATTGAGGTATCCCTGTTAGCCTGTTTGATCAGGTTGTGTGCGGATGTGTGTGCATTTGAAGACCTGGCCATGCATGACAACACCAAAATGACCACCTATCCATCACTGGTGCTAGGGCCCGAGTTACCACGAGCTCAGGCATCGCACCAGCTGGACAAAAAACCACTACACAGCGCTGAATGCAGACTAATACAGTTCAGAAAAGAGGAGTTACCTGGAATGCATTTAGCATACCTCGCTTGATGTTTCATTGAAGGGTTTTAAATGGAATCATAAAAGTGTTGTGGGAAAAACCCACCACCGAATTTCTAAATCGTAAACCAGGGAGATCCTAACACTCTCTCTCGGCATCTCTATTTCTTGTCTCTTTCACTTTGCCTCTCTTTCAGAATGTGGCTTTTGCTCTCTGACTTATATGGAGAAACCGGCAAGCTGCCACAGGAAGACAGTGTTGCATTGAGCAGTTGATGTGGGTGGGCTGAAAAACAAGAGAGTAAGAAGAGCAGAAGTAACTGTAAACGTCTCCGAGTGTCCCACCCTGCTTAGCATGCGTCTAGACTGGCCTCTGTGAGGCGGGCGGCAGTCATAACAAGGGATTGGGAGAGCAAACAGGGCTGTTTAGCAAAGTTAACCATTCGTCTATGGAGTCACAATCAAGAAAACAAAACCTCTGCATTTAATTGAGGCTAAACAAGGAGCTCCCAGCGCACCGTACAATTATGAGATATACGAGGCGACAGAGTTCTGACAGCGTGCCAACATGCCCCACACACCAGAAGACCATCTCACCAGATTGGCACTGGACCTGCAACCGTTACTAAGCAGTGTGCCAAGGCTGTTGGCCTACTTATGAGCCA